GTAAAGTTCTTGTAATTTTATCAATAAAATATCTCAATCAATCTCTCATGGAGATAGATTCTTATAGTGGCTTCTATATAATAACCTACCTCTTCAGTAAGAAGAAATTACAAAAATATTTGTTTAATGAATATAGATTTTTTTATATATACAGCTTTACGTTGAATACCAAGCAAAGTCAGCAAATAAGTATCAAATCAGCCGATTCTGCACTTTTCGCTTGCTTGGTTGGGATCTCATCATAACGCTTTTTGTTAGTGAGTATATGGAAAAAGGTATATTATATGGTCGGTCGGGTCGGTATGTATGGTGGCGAGTTCCATCTACGAGTTTAGTGACAAGATATATTGATATTTGTTTCCGTAATGATTATATATACTAATATTATAAAGAGGGTAATATCTGAATCTACTGAATCAATTTAGATGAAATTTGGTAAGAAGATAGTTTGACCTTGAAAAGGAAATAGGATACTTTCATCCCGGAAATCATCCCTTAAGGGGGTGAAAATGGAGATGAAAGTTTGTACGTGGAATAAAATAAAGTGCGAATAGGATCATTACCTTCATCACTATTACCATCACGCAAGTCATATCATCACTACATATTATAAACTTTCCCACTGCGCATAATTTGTGTTTGTTCAGACTAAACTTAGAAACTACTATACAGATTTTCATACGATTTTCATTAATAGAAAGAGGGATTATCTAGAGGTTATAGGATAGTATTTTAGAATATTTTTCAAAAATAAGCTGCCAGTATATACTTTTTTGAAAACATCTGTAATCTATACATATAGTAAAATTGTAACCAAGCCGAATCTGTACATTAAATATTTTTTGGAAAATCTTATTGAAATAAACATTATTATCGATACAGAGGCCGAATCTATAGTTTCTAGAATTTTTGTCTTTCTGTCTGTCTGTTTGTCTGTCTGTCTGTCTGTTACCGCATCACAGAAAAACCCCTAGAGGGATTTTGATGAAATTTGGTATGGTGACAGCTGGTTATCCGGGTCAACATATAGGATACATTTAACCGCAGGAAAATGTCTACTTTCTGAGAAAAAATACAAAAACTGCAATATAATTATTTAACGTAAGAGTATACTAATATGTAAAACCTAAGAAATTGGTTTTTGGTCATCTAAACGCGGGCGGAGCCGCGGGCAATGCTAGTATATATATATATAAATGCGAAGGCTAGATTACGGATGCCTGGAACGCAAGCGAGCGAAGCTAGAATGGGTCGCTTATTCAAAAATATTATTAATTATACGATATTGTACCCTCTAAGCACCATTAAAAATATTTTATCTGTTCGTATGAATTTTATTACAGGAAATAAAGAGAGGGACGACACTTAGGGAAAGCGTGTGATTTTCCCTACATTATTCTGCTCAATATTTTGTTATGTAGGTATAAATATTATTGCTGATATACAAAACTGTTAGTTGCACATTGCACATGTACATTAGTAACGTTTTGCTGAAATGTATCTTAAATCTATACATATTTAATTTAATAACAGATTATATTATTTTGTATTTTCATTAATAAAATATCAGATTTTTTTATTAAATTCAGCTTAATTTTTATACCATACACACAACACATAGTAATGTAAATAATAAATATAAAATTATTATTTTAACTAATTTAATCTCTCTTTAGGTTTTTAAATGTTGCAAAAACCTCTTTACAAATAAAATTAATCATCTGAAAATATATTGTATAAAAGGCATTCCATTTACCCACTCCACTTATTCCACTTAAACAAAAGATGGATCGAGTTACTCGTTTCCACATTAAGGGAAAACGTACAGTAGTTACACTATTGAACCTATACTTTAACTACTTATATAGAGCAAATTGAAATAACATTCTATCAAATTAATTATTTTATTAGGCTGTTTAATGATTTTTTTATAATCTATACAAATACTTATAAATAAAATTGAAACGTAATGTCAAAATACCAGCTTTTTTAATAAATTCATATCAAATTACGTGTATATGTATACGGTACTTAAAAGAATATGCCAGTTTTTTGCATATTTCTCTGTCTGTCTGTGTGACTGTTTCGGCTTCCCTCCGATGTAAGTGACTGGACCAATTTTGATGGGACTTTCACTGGCAAATAGCTGATGTTATAAGGAGTAATTTAGGCTTCTTTTATATTAGAAAAAGAAGTAGAGTTACGCGCAAAAAAATTAAAAGCTATGAAATTGTGAACAAAATCCGCGTACGGATAACGTAAAGAGCCGACCCCGAGCGAAGCGACGGTAAGTCGCTAGATATTAAAATATTTGGTGACTTTTTAACGCAGCAAATATATTATATGTATAATAGCGTTCACTAGCTAATAAACTGCAAGCAATATGTGTAATTGTTAAGTTATTATTTTACATCTCAAAATCTGACATCTGTAGTCTTATAGTAAAGTCGCTCTATATTCTTTGCCTTTTGTCAGACTTTAACACATTTCGAACAATATATTTTGGATATCTATTAGTAAAATGTAAACTGAAAGCGAAAATACGAAAGGTAACAAGTTCAATTAGTATCCAAGCAATATTTTTATAGAAAATGGAAACTTTGAAGTCATTGTTAGTTTTTAAGCTCAGCATTCACTGCACGAACCCGGCCGGACTTACTACTAATACCAGACGAGACTAGTCCATTATCACCAATAGACCTTGTGGTCTTTTCTAAGATAATTTTATAATAAGAATATTAAGAAAAAAAAATATACTAGATTTCGTACAAATTGTGTGATTTGGGAAACACTAATTTGTTGAAGGTGGAACTGGGTACATAGATCTATCGTTTACAGTTATTTAATATAGAAATGACAAATAATGATTCTATGACATAACAAATTAAATTTGTCATTTTAATATCTGACTCTACTTGACCGTCCATCCCGTCGCATCCATATACATCCGGAAGTCGTAGTGTGGTCATTCGTAGATTTAGATTAGTGTATGGCTCTAAATAGAGATAATGATTTAAATTTTTTAATCACGGTAGTTGACTTTGTTTGATTTTATCACGAAAAAATATCAAATATCAAAAGATTTTTGCTAAACAGATAAGGCTTAGAAATACAGCTCACTTTAACATTAATTGGATAAGTTTGTTCAGTTTTGTGCGCTCCTATACGTAGAAATCAGGAGTTATGTTTAACGAATAAAGGTAACATGATAACACACGAGCAAAGGTATACTATAAACGTTAGCTACTGGAGATATATGAAGTTTCTATGTGTAATTTCAAAATAGCTACAAATACTAGTTCTCATGCTTATCTCATGTTGTTATTTGCTAAATATCAAAGCCTAAACCAATATGAATGAAATTGTTTATGTCCATCTGTTTGTACTCGCTTATTTCTGTGACAATTTAAGTGATTCTAGCAAGACTTTAACTAGCAAATAAAAATTTGAATTAAAGTAACTAAGGGTACTCTTTTCATCAAGGGAATACAAGATAAAACCTGAGAAAAAGATAATAAAGAAAAACAAACGGATTTTAACAAGATTTTTCTTGCCGAGTGGAGAGTCAGTATGAACTTACTATCTAATACTAATTAATCAACAAAACAGAGGGACGCCACAATCAAAAGTTAGTATATATCTAAGAAACAAAGACTAAATAAAACACACAAAATGAGTCAATCTATTTATTATCTTCGGCTATTTGTTTGTACAACATAAACTACTGTTACGTAAAAACATACATATATCTACATTCCATTGTCTTCAAACTTTATATATCGAGTTACAACCTTAGTTTCACAGTGATGCATGAAATTGAATTATTGAATATGTACGAGTATGTATCTACTAATAAAGCGAAAAGTGATTAATAAGTGACTAATATACTTTATTATCCTTTATATAAAACAATTTCAGAGAACTGTTGATTAAATAAATATTTTCTACACTCAAAATATAATAATCGGAAGTAAATTTTGCAAATAAATAGAGTTAAAAATATTAAACTTTATAATATGTTAAATAGTAGAAGTAGCGTAACAAAAGACCAAACATATATCATACTTAACATGTATGTACATAAATCTTAAAATTAATCTTAAAAAAGTATTAATACACAACTAAAAATACTGTGGCACATCGTATTTGAATTATGTAAATAGTAATTCTAGAAGAATCAATAGGGAAGACATGATCTTTGCAATTTTGGCGCAACATTTATCCTAAGACTAGCTACTCTATAGTATGTCACTGTAATAATAATAAAATATAGCTTTCATGGGCTAAGTTCCATATAAGATAGAAGGAAGGGAATATGCCCTTAGAAAGAACATGACTAATGTACAAAATTATAATTTGCTATAGGCATTCATTGTAATAGAAATAAATAACTCTGAAAGTATAGAGTACATTAGTATTGATACTAGTGAAAAATCTAACATTATACTTAATTATGTTAAGTATGAAAATCCTATATCAGTTATTTTTCCTTACATTAAAAATGAATAGTACAACTTATATAAAAAAATTACTAAATGCCTCGTCAAGCGCCTAAATATTCCTTATCGAGTCCTAATTCTATGATACTCGTAAATTATAATGATGCTTATCCGGCAGCGATATTCAGCCTGTTTTTTCTGAATATGAGGTAATCGAGACGAAATTTAAAATACTCTAGAGTCTAGAGATATTCTTTCAAAGTTCTTATAAAGTGACACACTATAAAGCAGCTTTGTTTCTATACATGTAGTTAGTTATTTACAATCATTGAAACAAGTACATTTTGAGACAAAAATAAGGAAATTACAAATACACTCGTACTTTACAATGTTTTGACTTAAAGTAGCTTATAGATAATTTACGATTCACATTAGTTAATCAAATGTGTTTACATTATGTACATTGTTAAAAACTAATCTAGACTTACAATATCTCTCTATTTGTACTTATTTCATAAAAAAATATGTACGTTCAGATATATCACAAAACTTTTCCCATTATGTGCAGTCGACCGCCTCACTCTGAAAATATACGTTAATGTTTACTAAATTATCTTAATATCACATAAGTACTTAAGTAAATTCTTTTTGAACGATTTAAAAATAAAATGAGGTACTTAACGGGGAAGAATTTTGCTATTTCTCCCGCCTGATGTCACGATTAGTGATGTAACGAATATTCGCATTCGCGAATATTCGCATGTTTTTTGACATTCGTATTCGCAAGAAACGATGCGAATGCTTGGCAAATGTATTTAACAAACAAAAAGGAAATTATATAAGGAATGAACGGACGAATGAAAATACAACTGTGCTTTACTCATGTTTTTATATAACTTTGTCAATTTGACTAGATATTACTTAAATTTGGCAAATGTAATAATAATAAAATAACCTCGCATCACAACAAATCTTTTCGAACGAACTCATGTGACTAACTTCGTTCATTCAACTTGTATCGGCTCGGCTATGTTCGGTTAAACATGGCCGACGTGAAATGTCAAACCTGTCTGCTTGACATTTTGCGCGCGCTTTATTTGAAAACCAACATTCGCATTCGTATTTGCGAATATTGAAGATGAATATTCGCAATCGCATCCGCGAATGTGAAAAATCAAATATTCGTTATATCACTAGTCACGATCACTGTGATCCTCAGTATATTGTAAAGCTCTATAGCATGGGTGGTTTTTTTTTTCATTTTATTTAAAATTTAATTAAAATGACAAATTGTGCAGTGCCAGGATGTAAATAAAATAGATAACATTTTTTCCCAAAACACAAAACATTCATTAAATTGAGGTTAAAGCAATAACACGACCAAAATTGGCAAAATCACAATCTTTATAATTAAGGCACAATTTGTATGTGCACATGTGTACACCATTTTACAGAAAGTGATTTTAAAACTGTCAAATCGTCTACAGGTGAATATGTTTTTTTTTATTGTACTTTTTTTACTACTATTGGAACTTTTACGGTTACATAATTAATACATGTATTCAGCCATTTTTTAAACGTCCTACTGCTAGGCACGGGCCTCCCTTTAGTACGAGGGGGTTCAGGCCATAGTCTACCACGCTGGCCAAATGCGGATTGGCGAACATCAAATGTCTTTCGAAAACTTGCTGGGTTCTCTAGACATGCAGGTTTCCTCGCGATGTTTTGCTTAACCATAAAGCAAGTGGTAATCATGTTAGAAATTATTCGCACATGAAAATAACAGAGGTGCGAGACCCGGGATTTGAACCCGTTTCACTCGGTTTCCCAAGCGAGCGCGTTACTACTAGGCTACCACTGTCTTATATACTATTATTATATTACATATTATATAAACTACCATAATTCTTTAAATTGCAGGTTTTAATTTACAACGCCGAAAGTTAAAGACGAATGCGGTGCCATCTGTTTTCCCTTGGTCCAAGGTTTTTCCACCCTACGCAGCTGCTAGGGAAGAAATACTGCGAAATAGAAATCTGAAAAAACGCTTTTCCCACTACAATTTTCAAATTGTAGTAATAATGTTACTGAAGTTACAGAGAGTGAACTATTTGTTGTTTGTATCCTGAATTTGAATATCGCTATAACTTAAAGATTGTCATTTATTTATGTCTAAAAGTCAAAAAAATAAACACACAATTCTTCAGGTTTTTTGTCTTTTGGGAACAAATTAAATCCATTTTCTTTGCATCCTGGCACTGCACAATTTGTAATTTTAATTAAATCTTTAATAAAATTAAAAAAAAAACCATCCACGCTATAGAGCTTTACAATTTACTGAGGATTATAGTAATCGCGACATCTGGCGAGAGAAATGGCAAAATTCTTTCCCATTCGGGCGTATGTTTTTTAAATTGTGTATGTTACGCGATAATCTACGGTTGTGAATCGATTTTCAATATATATATTTTTTGTATTTTTTTTTATATATTTATTTTTTTAATTATTTTTGTTTTTAAATTTATAGTTACATATGTCAAGGGTGGTCTCATTTAAGTATCAAGAAAACATTCCACCCCTGAGGGACTTTTGTAGTAATTTTGAAGTTGATGTTCCTCTTTACTTGAAAAGTAATTATTACTTATATGATTACAAAAAAAATATCATTATATTTTTCTCTTTTCCTTCCTTGCACCGCTTTTCGCCACAAAGCATTAAACAAAACAAGTGTTCTATTTAAAACAAGTGTGTTAAATGCCGCTATGTATTTTAATATGTAACCTATATTATGAACTATAAAACATTTGCTTTAACGGAAACCAAACCCTGCCAGCTCGTTGTCAGAACCAGTCAGACAAATATCCTATTGCGGCTCGACTATTGTCGAGAGAGATAAATATTTTTTTATAAGACTCGAAGAAATAAAGATTTAAATTTTAAAACTAAAAATTATTGTGAATACTTACACGATTGCTACGTTAGTAGAGAATCATATTCAAAAGGCGTTGGGTCGGCTGCACGGAGATGTCACCATAACACTCCTCCGGAAATATTTGACACTTCTATTTGGTCCTCTATATCTACATTCAAAGCTCTAAGCTGTCTTTTTTTATACCTTTGGCGAAAGCTAGCCCATATTACCAGAGAAATCAGTATAAGGCATACAACAGCTATCGTCCCGATATATTGAGCGTAATTTGCATGCGTCTCTTGATACGACGAATATTCTAACCTAACGTTTGGATTTACTGTGTATGCCTCAGTAACAGCAGAAATTCCCATAATTTGGTTCTTTGTTGTCCAAATAATTGCTTTAGACTCCTTTGTTGATACTGGTTTATTTAATCGTTTTCCAGAAAGTTTTCCTCGGTAAATTTCCTTTTCGTTATCATTTTCTTTAATACTCAATCGAGTGGAATACGGCGTGTGTTGTTCAATATCTAAAAAATTGTGATCAATTTTTAATGGATCATTTTCAATTTTTTTCTGATCTAAAAGATTCCGTGATTGTTTAATCTTAACAAATAACGTTTCATTTAAGTAATCATTTAATATTTTTTTCCTATTCATAGGCTTATTCAGTTCAACGATATCGTCGACCAATAAATTACCTTGTAAAATATCATTATTTGTCTCGTTATTACTGTTAAATATAAAACCATCAATATTATTCTTTAAAGTGGAACTGTTAAAGGTGTGCTTAACTCGCTCCGTTTTATTACTTAAATACCCATAATACCTGAGCAGTTTATTTATCATTTCAGTACTATATAAATTTACTGGTGGCAAACTTTCACTGATCGTAAATGTTTCTGGAAATGTGCAATTATATTTAGAGATTTCCGATTTTGCTTCTTGCGTTGAGTAATAACAGGTTTCACTGCGGAAAAGGCTTTTATTCCAATTAAGCCAATCAGAAAGCCATAGTTCTTTACTACAATTTATATTATTGCCGTGTAATCGTAAAGTTTTCAGCTGTCCTAAATAAAATAATAAATCATTTCGTATTTCCGTAAGATTATTCATCCGTAAATCCAAATACTGGAGATGGGAAAAAGCTGCTAAAGCCGCTGAGTCAGATAACAATTGTCTCGCTAAGCCGGGACTAGATTGGAGATGGAGCATTTGCACGCTTTCAGGCGTCGACAGAGGAAACGAACCATCTTGTTCAGGTACAGTTATGTTCAAATGACACAGTCTTAGGTCTCGAAGCGATAACGGTCCATCAAATGTGCTAGGAGACAACAACTTTATAGGATTGTTAGATAAATCCAACATTTCTAGTGAGAGTAAATCATCAAATATGCTATCTTGAATGTATTGTATTTGATTACTCTTCAATAACAAAATGCGAAGATTAGGTAAATCCTTGAAATCTGGTTTAGTAAGATTTTTTATTGAATTCTCGTTAATAGATAAATATTTCAAGCCATCTGGAAGTGACCGTGGTACGTTAGAAAGCAGATTTTTATTTAAATTTAAAAACAATAACATTTCCAGTCTTCCTAGAGAATCGTCCTCTATTGAACCAATCTTATTGTCGCAAAAATCTAATGATTGTAACAATGGGTAGCTATCGAGGTCACCGCACCTTATAGACATAATTTTATTTCCAACGAGAGATAGAAAACGTACGGAATGGGTGAACGCTTCAGGAACTTGGCAAAGGCCGGTTCTCGATGCATCGATCTGTTGAAGTCTACGGCCTGTCCCTACCAACAATTGTGTATCCAGCTGTGTGATTCCTAAATGCGGGTTATCTGTTAAGAGCAAACGTGCCAGGTTTGGTAATTGCTGCAGCGCTCCTGGCGTTACTTTCAAGAGATTGTTATGTGAAATATCCAGATGTTGAAGCAACCAATTATTAAAATAATTATCATGAATAAATTGTATATTATTTCGGCTTAGATTTAGGTGTTGCAGATTTTTGAGCGGTGAAAATACGTTTGTCAAACTAGTTAGGTTGTTTTCAGACAAATCCAGGGCTTCCAGTTTAGTGAGACCAAAGAAACTGTTTTCATATATTTTAGCGATACAATTTCTACTTAAAATTAATTTACGAATATTTGTAAAATTATTAAAGAGTCCTCTGTTTATAAACTGCAATTTGTTTGATGATAAATCAATCTCTTGAATATTATTAAATTTAACATTTATTCGCACCTTCGATATACTATTATTTGTCATCATAATTGCATATGTATCTAGCTGAGGAAAGTCGAATTCAATTTTACTTGAATTACACGTACTCTTATATTTTATCACAACTTCCGTAAAAGTTATGTTCGCCTTGTTATGCACCCAATTAATCAGAGTCGAATCTTTTTGACAGCAAACTTCCACGTGATATTTATTTACACTCTCTTTAAGCGAAACACTGTACGAACACACTTGACACGAAGTTGAGTTGTTTCTACATTCACATATTTTTGGACAAGTCGATATAATATTAGTCACTTGCCATGATATTATAAAAATAAGTAGAAAACATTCTCTAAACAGAGAAGCCATTTCGTTTGATTATCCTTACTTAGGCTGGATTAAAAACTAGATGGCACTGAAGTTGGCGCAATTGAAACTTGTTATTCCGAAAGTGGCAAAAGTCTATTATAACATTGCGTAAGTGAAACATAGTTGTCATTGTGAGTTTAAAGCACGGACACTTAAGTGGTCACAGCCGCGAAGTAACTCTCACAGGCTCTCATGCTCACCTGGTAGCTCAAGCGGTACAGAGCACAGTGCGTCACAGATCGCGCGAGATACGTAAGCATCGACAGCGGGTCGTTCGTAGCGAGTCGTAGCGACTTCACTGCTACGGGCGGGCGCCGGCGAGTCTGGCTCGAAACTGCCTGAAGCGACGGCCACTCGCATGGCGCCGGCGCTCTGCAACTTCCCTTACAACCCTCACAGGCTCATTTTTATTTAGTCAACTGACTTCTACGCCGCACTATTTATACCTATGTCATACGGCGCTCCCTGATACGATATTTTGAGAACGCAAGTATTTGGTTCACGCTATATATCTTCACTCTACTCGAGATTGGTCCCCGATGGGCATTCTCAGAGCATGATTTAAACGGCCGGTTATCAGAAATCGGTTACATTGTCCTGTTAGTGTGGACGATGATAGATAGATTTATTCTATATTTAAAGTTGAACTACTTTTCAATTTATATTTTAGAAATGTACATCTTAGAATAATTTTCAAATAAATATAATATATTTAGTAACTTAACAATTTCAAAAATAAAAACAATTCCATTAAAAATTGACTATTTTACTTTTACAGTCTCTATTTACTTATAGTTTTATCTATCTATGTTAAATAAATGATAATTTTATTAAAAAAACTCATTATAATTAATTAATATCATGATGAATTAATACTAAAGAAATGATATCAAAAAGTTTTACAAATTGACATTAACATAAATTAAGACGAGTCTATGAAACGGAGGGAAAAAGTATTTGATCTTTTAATGTTATGAAAATCTTAGCACAAACATTCAAATAACTTTTACAAGAGTTGCTCCCAAGAAAGCTATTGAAGGGGTCTCTTTATTATGTTCCTTAATTTGGATTATTTTTGTCCTCGACCCGTCTTAAATGTTTGACTAAAATAACATTTCTCAACATAAAGTACATCTTACTTTTAGTAAATTATTTATTTTGGTTAAGGCAGATTTACGCAAATCGTTTGTAATTACACAATATAATATTTTTGTTACATAATTGTAGGAAATTCATATAGAAAAGAATTTATTTTGTGAATATATTTATACAGCTTATTTAATTATTTTATAAGAATTCATATTATTTATTAGATGACTATATAACAAAATATGTATTATTACTTTTTAAATTGTAGGCAGAACTAAAGCAATTATATTCAACAACATTAATCAAGTTTTTTAATCAAAATTGATATAATATAAGAAAATATAGTAGATAATGTATAGGTAGAATTCATGTAAAGAAAAGAGGGTTGCCTCCGAAAATAATAATATCGTGTGCAATTGACATAATAATATATTCGGACTTCGGCCACCCGACAGCGGAAAATATATTTAAAATTATTGCATCTAGAGAGTTCCGCCCATTTCTAAGGCCACCTTCCCCAAATACATTTATTAAAGTGACCCACAGCTTACAGGCCGCAAAATAAATCATAGTCAGGATGTGGCAGGTTTTTGCGGTTAACCGAATAAAAAGGGAAAACGGTACTTCTACAAACAAAGACTTTCATACACTTGAGTATTTATTATCCCATCCCCGACCTTCATACCGGAACCATCTGCCACTATTTGCGCAATAACTTTAATTGGTGCAAAAATAGCAAAATTGGACCGTTCCGAGGGTGGCTATCACTGTAATCGAACACTATTAAATAGAATTTGGCAACAAAAAAATTGGAACGAAATCAATGGTGAAAAGAGGAAGCTTTATAGGCCATTAGTGAAGGGTAAAAGTAAACTGTAGCTGAAACTAAAATTGCGCCTTGGGTGGAGCGAAATCGCTGTCATTAGGGTAACGAGGGCCGACGCAGCGCGAGCGGGCAGCTCTTTAGCCAGAACCTAATGAATCGACCCACCCTTGGCAGCCGCACCGCCACTACTCTGATTACTCTACGTCTGTTGCTTCAAAGGTATTTCAACGCAATTAAAAGTTTCTACTGGCTACCATGTAACGCGTCATGCGAGGGGTGTTTATTAACATAGAATTTTTTACTATATTTTTAGTTCTACGTCATTCTTTATTCAATATTTTTTTCAGTTTATAAATTTAATATATTTGTTTAAAGTAATATTAAGTTAGTATTGTAAGCTATTTTTTGTTAAACTTGCTTATATAAACAAGTTTTATATAAAAATAGACAAGGTTAGAAAAACCGTAACAAAATTATTCAAAACTATTATTTGACTAGATCCCAAATATATCTATTGATTTATTAGTTACACGAAAATAACTATTACTTACGTTTACAATTACACAAGAAATACTCGTACAAGTCAATACATATCATAAAATAATTTTCTTTGCTGACGCGCCTCTGTCGGTGCCTTGCGCCAGACGTGACTTACGACAGCGCAATTTCGCCAAACTTAGCATTATATAAAAACTCAATAACACTGAGATATTAGATATAATCTCTCCTTGAATATAATATTTGTTGTTGGATTACATAATAACTGTGGCAACTTATGTAAAATATATATAGCTATATACATATTTTATTCCTTATAAAACTTTATAGACTAGATTAGTGAAGATAAATTGAAATAATAGTTAAATAAGTAAGAATATTATAAAAATAAAAAACTCGACTGCATAAAGGCTAACTAAACAGATGAAAACAAGTTCACGAAGGAATATAGTATTATGCAGTCGGAGACACACACGTTTCATCCTTTTTTTTTGTTTTTTTTTTTAACGTTGGGAAATGCATTTACGCACGACGTGCGGGACTCACCGGCGTAATACAGCCAGTACTACCCACTAAAACCCAACAAAACCTTCCCCCGTCTTAATGGGGTGTCGCAGGATCGCTTACGCATTCAACTACGACGCCCCGACGGCAGGTCTGCCGAAGCAGACCACCACAACCATGGGGTTGCTCCAAGGTCCACTCTGCTATCAGAGAAGTACCAGGAGCAACCCGCATGGTACACGGCCCCCGAAGAAGGCCACCTCCCACCGCTCACCGAAGTGGGCAACCTCTCTGTGCGTTTCTTAGCTTTTATTTTGTTTTATTGGATTGCCGGGCACTACTGAGCCCCCCCACCACGACAAGGTGAACGCACGTTGGGGGGGACACACGTTTCATCCTTGCCGCGAGATGTTCATACTCGTATGTATGTATGTGTCCGACTGCATAATACTATATTCCTTCGTGAACTTGTTTTCATCTTTTTAGTTAGCTTTTATGCAGTTTTTTTATTTTTATAATATATTTATTTATTTACAGTTTTTAAGTATTTTTAAGTAGGAACATAAGAGAGAATGGTTGTTAACCAACTTGAAATCGTTATATAACCTAAACTGTTATTTAAAATAATATCACAAACAAACGTACAAAGGTAGACGCGGAAAACAATAACCCTTTCCTTGCATTCGGGTAATTATAACTAGCCAGCCATTATCCTCACTTCACACATTGTGACTACGTTCTTCAGTAAAATTTTACTTTGATTGTTATGCTCTAAATTATTCATTTAAACGATATCGTGAGATTTAATGTCGTTAAGAAGACCATTACAAGTATTTAGATTTATATATAAATCTAGTATATTTTATATTCAATACAAAATAACTTTTTAACAAAAAAAATAAAAACCGACTTCAAACAAAAGCACTAAAAAGTAAAAAATAACTGATTGGTAGTTTTCATTTACTATACATACCTAATCAAATATATTCGAAGTCGGTGTGCTTTGCTTTATATGGCCTGGCACCGATTTCGAAAATATTTGATTAGGTATGTATAGTAAATGAAAACTACCAATCAGTTATTTTTTACTTTTTAGTGCTTTTGTTTGAAGTCGGTTTTTATTTTTTTGTTAAAAAGTTTTTATTTTTCCCTTTTTATTGTAGACAGTAGTAGCAAAGTAAGAATTCTGAAGTGTTAGACTTGTCAAACCAAACAAAATAAGCCCAAACTCAATATCTACTATTAGTCGTTGAAGAGTTCCACCTATCCACCTTCTGGCCTTACCATCAGATCAGGTCAACAATACCGAACCACTGTACTATCAACGGAAATAGAAACACTTGCAAAGTTTCAAGTCAATATGACAATTAGAAGTAGGTTAAATTCATTATTAGCTATTTTTCCACCCTTAGGGGCGGAATTTTTTTTTTGAAATTTAAATGGGACCAATCTGGAAGTATACCCTTTCAAACAAAAAAAAAATTGTCTAAATCTGACGAAGTTCTGAGGTAACAAACATAAAAAAAATATAATATACAGTCGAATTGAGAACCTCCTCCTTTTTGAAGTCGGTTGAAAAACACAAAATTTACGAATAGAACCTTCTCGAATAAATACATCAAAAGTCATACTGGATGCGGTAAATATTAGACCACAAACTAAGCTGACACGCTCTATCGAAATTCACTATATCGAAGGAAACCAACCTAAGCTTGTGCTCGTCAAAATCAAATCCATAGTCCCACAAACGCGTACAAAAGCAATTTGAGCGATATACGAAAGACGACAAATCAGTTTACGCATTGTTAATCGTTTTGTCCTGCCCAGCTTGGTTGCCTCGGAACAAAATATCAGTAAAAGGGGTCGGCATAAAACTTTATTACGCTTCACCTCGAGCCACAAGTCGGGATGCGAAATGACGCCTATTCTCATTAACCTCGCCACCGGCCCTTTTATATCAACGACTATACATTTTTTTTCTATCTTCATCTTTATGTACAGATTACAACAGAAATAGATTTCTGCCAAACATAAAAGAATATAAATAAAATACGAAAAAGAAGTTTTAAATGAAAAATAAAATATAAATAATTTGTGCATCAGTGCCAGTAAAGCAAACAGGGTTAAATAAAAAGATAACTGCTTATGCTACCGCGGGGACTTAAATTTCCATATCGCGTAAAATAGCGTAGCTCCATTATGCCTTATAAGTTATTCATTTATAAATAAGGAGTAGCACGCTTATCTGTGATAAATGTTGTTCTCGATATATAACAGCATGAAATGTGGTTGACTCTCGTAATTTCTACATTTTAATCTCTTAGATTTCATTTTATAATTCTATTCTATTTCCTGTTAATATTATTTTTGTATCTCGATAATAAATTCCTGTAAGAGAATGGTTTAACTTTAATGTTATGTTAATAAACGCAAGTGTAAATTC